CCCCAAAACCCCAAAACCCCAAATGATGCAAAGCAGAGAATAAGATAGGTTGCTTATTGTATAAATAAATGGAAATTATTTATTAATATGAGTCATAATTAAATTAATAAATATGTCAAGTGCAAGACTATCAAGAGTAGATGATCTGGTAGAGAAAATCAAGCGCCGATAAATATCAAGTAATTTAATAAAGAAAAGCTTTATACAATAATATTTACAGGCTCTCATGAATATGCACTATTGACCTCAAAAATATTTAAAGATCTGATCGAACAGTCTAAATGGGCAGATGCCAGACAGCTTTTTATCTAAGCTAGAAAAATTGGCAAGAAGCTGATAGTAGCAGATAAGATGAATTTCACCATAGGAAATGTTGTTAAGAGAGTTTATCATATAATCAGAGAGGAGTGCAAAGCTTTGAAGATTTCACTAAAAGAATAAAGTGATATACTTAAGTCTGGTATAACTAAACTCTTAATATCTTTTGCTATATAGATCCAATTAGAATGGATTCATTGAAATCAATTACACTTAGAGGAGCGAGAACAAATATTGATAATATGGAAAATTCTTTAGATTAGATTGTAGAAGAAGATGATGAGGTAGAGGATCTAAACAATCCTAGTCCAAATATTAGCACTATAAAATCAAATAGATAATCATAACTCAATCTTGGCAATTCTGAGAGTAAAAGAGGCTCTGCATAAAATCTAATATAGAATATTAATAGCTAATTGAAGAACTCGCTAATTTAATCAATCAATCTAATGAGAGATGATATCGAATCTGTTCATGAAACTATAGAAGATTAAGCTAGAGAACATATCCATTCAAATGATGTCATATTAACCTATGGAAGAAGCACCATTCTAAACAGCTTCTTTAAGGAGGCAGCAAATGAGATATTCTTCGAGGTTTTAGTATGTGAATCTGCTCCTTCATATCTTGGCCACCAAACAGCAAAAGAATTATCATCATACAACATTTCAACTACTTTAATACCTGATTCTTCAGTTTATGCACTTATGTCAAGAGTTGACAAGGTAATCATCTCAACCCACTCTATTATGGCTAATGGTGGTTTGGTTACTCACTCAGGAGCTTATATTATTTGCTAAGCAGCCAAGGAGCACTCTGTGCCAGTTTATGTGATCGGGGCTTCATACAAAATGACACCTCTATATCCATTCGACTTTCTCACATTCAATGAGCTACTTTCACCATAGGAGATTTTTACTTTGGAAGAAAATGATGTCAAAGAAAATATTGAGGTGATTGTACCAGCTTATGATTATGTACCACCTGAATTCATTAGCCTATATATCACTAATATGGGTGGTTAAACTCCAAAATATATCTACAGAGTGTTCACTGAATTCTATTCGCAGGATGATATTTATGATCTGGATGATGAGAATGAAAATGAAGATGTGGATCAGATTAATACTTAATGATGATAATGAAATTCTTTAATAGAATGAAGAGATGAGTGATCACTTATTTAGTTTTAATTAATAATTTAATAAACATGGAAACTTAGTTATCAAATAAGTCAAGTTATATCACAGTTGGAGTGAGAGTTTTGCTAATAAATTAGTAAAACTAAGTTTTACTTGGTAGAAGGTATACCTAAATCTTTATTTATTTTCTAAGATTAGATACAAAAGATAAGCTATTCGGAACACCTGGAGGCCACTTAGAATTTGGAGAGTCATTTTAAGGCTGTGCAGCTAGAGAATTAAATGAAGAACTTAACATAGTAGTAGAGGAAGATAAAATAAAATATCTAACTACTTTAAATGTGATAAACAAGGAGGCTGGGATTCATTATCTGAATATTTTCACAGTTGCATTTATCTCAGATGAGTAAAGCAAGAATATTATAAATCAAGATTAACATAAATGTGAAAATTGGGAATGGCTTAATTGGGAAGATATAATTACGCCTGGAAGAAAAAGAGAGCAGCTTTATTATTCCTTTGGCTATTTATTTGAACAAGGTTTCACAAATTTAGACTAAATTAAGCTTATATATAGTTAAGAGTGATCAAAGATTGCTCTATTCGTTGAAAATGATCAATTAATTAAACTTATCAAGAGTGTTTTTATCCTAATATAAATATACCGCATATTATCAATAGAAAATGGGGTTTTGGGGTTTTGGGGTTTTGGGGTTTTGGGG